CTAGTGATCTAAAGGGATGACAGCAATTGGCAAGCTAAGCAATAGTGGAGGGACCACCTCGAATGCCCATTCCTGATAATGAACTTGATGTCTATAACTATCCGGGAGCCTTCATCCAGTGACTGATGGAAGCAGAGGCAAACACACACAATTAAGCACTGAACTGAACCCAAGGAACCCAGTGACAGAGAGAGAGGAGTGATGAGCAAATTGGCAAAGAATGGGCTGGCAAAACCAGCAGAGACAGCTGATCTGAACAGGGGAGAGCTCTTGGACCCCAGACCGACAGCGGGGAGGCCAGCATGGGACTGACCTGGATCCCCTGAATGTGAGTGTCAGTGAGAAGGCCTGGGCAACCTATGGGGCCCTGAGTAGTGGATCAGTGTCTATCCCTGGAATACAAACAGTCATCGTGTGCCCATAGCACAAAGAAGGATGCTCTCTCAGCGTGGACTCTTAGGGGAGTGCCTGGACCCTGCCCTGAGTGAAATGACAGACTCTAGATATCCCCTGTGTGGAAGGAATTGGCAATAGGGTGGGAGGCTGGGGGGGATGGGGAGTGCGGGAGGAGGGGAGGGAGAGGGAACTGGGGTTGACATGTAAAACAAGCTATTTAAAATTAAAATAAAAATTAAAAAAAATCAAATTTTACTTATCATAAACATAAGTGAAATAAATGCATGATTTGATTCAGAATATCTGTTAATCCATATTGTGTATTTGTACTCGGTATGGTAGGATTTCACAAATATTACTTAGAGAATTTGTGTAGAATAATATAAATGGCCAAGAGAGTTTTGGTGAAAATTCTATTTCTCTGTATATTAAAGTAAAAGCCAAGATTTCTCTCTGAAAATTACTGTAAGAAGAGTATGAAGAAGTAGATGTGATCAAATGTATTCCTTCAGTAGTATGTCATATAAATGCCAACCAACACATTGAGACTTTGGGAAGTGATCACATTAATAATGCTGTTCTAGAGTGTAGTTTTTTTTTAATTATTTAGGGGCCTGCCACCCAGCTCCCAAATAAATGCAAAGAGATTTATTCATACTTATGAATGCTTGGCCTTAGCTTGGCTTGTTTCTAACCAGCTTTTCTAACTTAAATTATCCTGTTTCTCTTTAACTACATTTTACCTTTCTTTATTCTACACATCTTTCTTTACTACTTATTCCGTGGCTGGATCCTGGCATCCTCCTCTTCTCCTTTTCTTGCTCCTCTTCTTTTCTCTTTGCTCTGCTCCTGAGCCTAGATTTCTCCCCCTACTTATTCTCTCTGCCTGGCAGCCCTGCCTATGTCTGAATCCTGCCTAGCTATTGGCTGTTCAGCTCTTTATTAGACCAATCAAGGTTTTTAGGCAGGCAAAGTAACACAGCTTTACAGAGTTAAACAAATGCAGCATAAAAGACTGCAATCCATCTTTTAATCATTAGACAAATATTCCACAGAATAAACAAACATGACTCATCTTACACTAATATTCCACAACACTGGAGACTAATTTATTCTATCTTTCTAATAACAGGAGGTGTATTCCTTTGTTGCCTTTCTCCATGCCCACATACAACATGTAAGTTGGCGCTCAAGTTTACTCATTGCTGAACCATTGCAAAACTCTTTTTATAGGCTATTCTTCAGTTTCACCCCACCTCTAATTTGTTGTCAATTAACTACGATTTTTTCTTTCTTAATTACTATTTTTCTCATTTCCCCCAAATCTTCAGAACATATTGTTAATAGTGGCTTTCTCTATAGCCCCATTGCTTTAAGATTGAATTGAAACACTAACATTAAATTATCTGTTATTTGCATTTCCAGGACATTTATGTGTTATGTCAGTTCCCAACAGGACTGCTTTGTCAGGTTGATTTAATAAATCTTTATAACCTTCTTCCTATGTCAGATACTCAGAAGCAAAAATCAACCTACTCTGAAGGATGTCATGAGACAGCAAAGGAAAATTTACTTAGAATCTAAATTTTATATGATTATTGTTACAGTGTGTGGAAGCTGAGTGATATTCGTTGACCCCTAAAAGATAATTCATATCCAAATCCCACAATTCAAGATTATGTTACCTCATATAGCAAAATGAAATTGTAAATGTGGTTAAAGATCTAGAGATGGGATTTTATACTGGATTATCTGTGTAGGCTCAATCTAATGACAGTGGTTTCTTAAAAGGACAGTCAAGTGAGATTTAACTTATAGGAGAAGGTAGTGTGACAAATTAGAGATTGGGGTGATGCAGCTGTGATCCAAAATAAACCTTGGCAGCTTCTTCAAGTTAAAGAGACACGAAACAAGATTCTCCCTTCGAACTTCCAAAAGGAACCAGCCCTACTAACACCTTGATTTTAGCTTGGTAGGATTTATTATAGAGGCTGACCTCTAAAACTATAAATTGATTGTGTTGTGTTGTTTAAAGCATAGAGTCTGAAGTGATTCACTACCAAAGCAACTCACTCAACTACTGCGCAGAAGGGAAAGTATCAACTCCTATGGCAGTCAGTGAATTAGTAAGGGAACTCGTTGGGGTTAGGTCACTGAAGGTGGTAGGGGAAAGGATGTGCAGAGGTGCAGAGGTGAATTAGTCGACTTGTTGTGCAAGTGGTTTATTGCTGTTAGCTCCTGGTGAACTTCTAAAATATAAATTGTTATTTTCACTTAGAAGTCAGGACAAAGGTTTGAACAAAAGATGAAAGAAACAAGGGACGAGGCTACCAAGATCCTGAGGCACACCTCCATTTTATAAAAAGGGGTGGGCAGAGCTAGAGTTACCAAAAGAGAAAATGCTGTTATCAAAGCTGAGAGAGAAGAAAACAATTTCTGTGGTGTCAGAAATGGTTTAGAGACCAATTAATAAAATAACTGTGATGCCAGTGGAATTTGTCAGCATGGAAATCAGTGGGAACCCTGGCCAGAGCATTTTCAGTGTTATTGAGCCAGAAGCCAGATTGCAGTAGGCTGGGGAAGGAATAAACAGAAAGGAAGTAAATACAGGATACTTTTTGAGAGGAAAAATTGCTCTGGAGGTATTCCAGAGATTTTCCAGTGGGAAGAAAAGACACATGTGTAACAGGGGTGGTCCACTAGATCCTGCCTTCTTAAACTGTGGGTGACAGCCCCACATGATGTCGTATAACAGAATATGGGGGTTGTGAAAATTTGGCAACCTGAAACAGTTTCTGAACATGGGACAACCAGAACTTGATTTAAAAGCAAATGCATACTGAATTTGAAATATTTCTAGCAGCAATCACCCATGTTACATCATGTGGCTCCATGCGGCCTTGCTTCTAAACACACAGTGCACACATTTTGCACCTCATCGATCACATGATGTAATACTAACAAACACCTTAGCTCAGATTCCAGACTATGGTATGTTACAACTTAGTGTTTTCCTTGTACATAAAAAATGTTTGGCTTTTATAGAAACATAATAATAGTTTGATTATAGAATAAAGGCAATATTTCCCTATCATTGATCCTTAGCATGTAAATTTCAAATGAGTATATCATTGAATTGTGTGTAAATGTTTGATTTTTTAAATTACTGTTTGAGTTGCTGGCTTTGCTTTAATTTTTTAAAAATAATTAAATAATCTGGCTTTCAATTAGTGTAGAATTCTCAGAAATTTCTGAAACAGTCCTAAGTATATTTCTACCTTTTTATACTGCATACTTATGCAAAACGGCAATCTCAACATTTCCAATTATAAAATCAAAATATTGATCAACTCTGAAAAACAAAGATGCTCTCTGTCCTGTAGTATCCAATATCCAGCCTAATTTAGTTCTTTGCAAATAAACAAGCACATCTATCTCATTAGTATGCAAATTTGCTTTCATCTTTAATCAATAGTAAAATTATATGAGTGCCCAAGAATTGTTGTCAAGCATCTTTATGATTTGTTACTAGTAAATGTTTGATTTTTATATACCTATATACCTGAGGTCGGATACAAATTTATTGAGCCAAAAAGGGATTACAAGTAGAAAAGGTTTGGAAGCCCTTCTCTAGAAAGAGGAACAGTGTGTAGAGTAGGGGTGGAGATTAAGTGGGGGATCAGCATCAGTGTTCCTGGAAGATAAAAGCTAGTAGGAAAGGAAAAGAAAGCATGGCTGATGGGAGTGATTTTTGACAGGAAACAACTGGAGAGGGATGTCCCTTGACGTAAACGAGAAGCTGTACTTTTTAGCTTTAACTGTCAGTTTGACATAGTCTAGATCAGTGGTTCTTAACCTTCCTAATGCTGTGACCCTTTAATACAGTTTCTCATGTGTGTGCTGACACCATCCATAAAATTATTTTTCCCTGCTACCTCATAACTAATTTTGCTACTGTTACAAATTGTAATGTAAATATCTGATATGCAGGATAGCTTATATATGACCCACAAAGGGGTGGTGACCCACAGGTTGCTGGTCCGGAGTAACCTGAGAAGGGCATTTCAGTTGAGAGATCACACTGTCTTTGTCAGCATGTCTGTGGGGTATTGTCTTCATTGTTAGTTGATGTAAATGCCCCCCCCCCCTCGAACTGCCATTTCCTCGGCTGGTAGTCCTGGGTTATATACTGAAGCACACCCCTGAGCAAGCCAGTAAGCAGCCTTCCTCCGTGGTTTGGTTTAAGCTCCTGCTTCAGTTCCTGCCTTCATTTCCATCAATGGTGGACTGTAACCTGTAAACAGAAATACACTTCCTCTTAGTTGCTACCACCGTAACAGAGAAGAAACTAGGACAGAAGTTGAAGGCAGGAGGGGCCAGAGTGGTTTTGCTGGTAAAGTGGGAAACATGGTGGTAGATAGTAGAGAAAGAAAGGTTCATAATAGCGCTTGAGGAAAATGGAAGAGAGGAGGTAAGAGGGGGAGATTTCTAGGCCTTCTCAAGGGGAGAGACACTACAAACTTCTTGCCTTTTGGTCCTTAAGAAACTGCCAAACTGAGGTACCCACGGAGCGGCCTAGTGGTGTGAGGAGCTGGAGCAGCTGGTTAACGCTGATCAAGATGATAACCTCCCAAAAGCACCTTGACTTCCTGGCAGGGCCCATGAGGGAAAAGCCAGTGGGGAGCCTGGCAGGGATTGGCGAAGCCCTGGGCAAGAAGCTGGAGGAAAGGGGCTTTGACAAGGCTTATGTGGTCCTTGGCCAGTTTCTGGTGCTAAAGAAAGATGAAGACCTCTTCCGAGAATGGCTGAAAGACGCATGTGGTGCCAATGCCAAGCAGTCCCGGGACTGCTTTGGGTGCCTTCGAGAATGGTGTGATGCCTTCTTGTAGTGTACTCTGGGACTCCTCAGCCCTCAGCCACAGAATTGAGTCTCCAGAGTCTGAAGCCTGGCGGGGCTCCTCCCTGTCCTCCATGAAGGAAAAGATTACTGTTGTCACGCTCACCTCCTATGTACTCCAGAAGTTTAGGAGTTCTCTCCCCTCAGCATTTCAACCTTTTTAGAATTCTTGCCCTTGCATGCCTCGACCCTCCTCCCCCTGCCGTTCCATGGCAACAGTTAACTTTCCCGAATGGATTCCTGGCCTCTTTCTCTCTCCCTTCACGATCTGTTGGGTGTCCTTTGGCTCTTTTTTTTCCCCTTTTTTGACGAAAATAGTCACCGCCCTTATAAAGATTTTTTAGACTAATAAAGTCAGTGACCTTCAAAAAGAAAGCAAAAAAGAAACTGCCAAATTATTTCCCATGATTGTTTTACTACTTTACTTTGCTACCAATGATAATGCCAATAACATGTGAGAGTTAGAGCTACTCAGCATCATTGCCAGTGGTTGGCATTGTCATCTTTTTCTTCTAGCCATTCTGGGGGGTGTGTCATGGTAGTTCATGTAGCTTTAATTTGTATTCACCTGATGATGACATACGTTTGTGCTTAAGGACCACTGTATGCCGTTACAGCAGCAGCAGCAGCAGCAGCAGCAGCAGTAGTAACAGTGGATTAGTAGTGGGGGGGGGGGAGAGAAAGAAGCATATCTTCATTGTATTAAGTTACAATGACTCGTATTTTCTGGATACTTGTTATTTATCAAGTACATGTATTGTAACTTTTTTCTCACAGTTTGTGACATTCCATTTTATATACTTAATGGAATCTTTGAAAGATTAAATGTGATTATTTGTTATTTTGATGTTTAATTGTTTTAGTTCATATATACTCTGGATACTAATTTCTTGTTAAACAACCAGCTGACAATGACTTCCTCAATTCTGTAAGTTGTCTTTTCACTCTGCTGATGGTTTAATTTCTTGCAGTCCCATTTGTCAGTTCCTGCTACTACTGGATAATCTATCAGGAGTTCTATTTAGAAAGGCATTGCCTATACCCAGATCTGTTTTTAGCTTTCTTTTTATTTATTCTTTGTGTCTTTCACATCATGCATGTCAGTCTTATTCATTTCCCATCCCTGCAGATCTGCTGTCTGCCCTTGCAACCTCTTCCCACCAAAATAAAATTTATGAGGAAAAAAAGTAAAAATCTCATCATGGAAGCTGCAGTGTGACACAGTGACTCACTCCGTAAACCCTTTTGTTCATTTATCTTTTCTTGCAAGTGTTCATTGCACTCATTGGTTTGGCTCAAAGCCTCTGGTTTCTGCTACACCATCGACGCTGGACCCTCACTGGGACTCTTCTCAGATATCCTGTTGTGGCCCTGTGTCATGGCGATCCTTCAGCTTTGGGTCAGCAGGACTGGCCCCTTCACATGCTCCTATAGATCCTGGATGGGTGGATGTTGGGGCATGGGCAACTCATAGCCCTGGTTCTGGGCTGGGGTAGTTGCAGGGTTGGTCAGTCTGCCAGCTCTCCCCTGTCCTCACCACCAGGATGAGCTCCCCTGCATTGCCTTGGCTGGCGAGTTCACGCTTTGCAGCAATGAACAAGGGGGTGGAGCCAGTTCTGCTTTGCCACCCTCAGGGTCAGCTCTCCTACACATACACCATTAGGGCCAGCTCTACTGTGTTGCCCAGCAGAGGTGCAGGGCCCACTCTCACAAGTGCTGCACCTGGTAAGGGGCAGGGGCAGCTCCTTTGCCCGCCACAGGTGGTAGGGCGATGCCTAGTTCTTTTTTTTAATGTTTCTTTTATTTTTGAGATTATAATATAATTGCATCGTTTCTCCCTTCCCTTTCCTCCCTCAAGTGCTCCCATGAACACCTTCTTGCTCTATTTCCAATTCATGGCCTCTTTTCCATTTATTGGTGTTACATGCATCTATGTATGTGTATAGATATGTATATTCCTAAATATAACCTGCCCAGTCTGTATACTGTTACTTGTATACATGTTTTCGGGGCTGACTGTTTGATATTAGATAACCAATTGCTGTGCTCCTCCCTAGTGAAGATGACTTCTCCCACTCCCAGCGTTTCTTAGTTGCCTATAGTTCTTTGTGTAGAAGATTGAGGCCATGTGGTCTTTCCCCCACCTACTTTGGCATGTCTATTGGTGTTCATTCTTGTTCAGCTCATGTTTAGGCAGATATGTTGGTGAGACTTGGTATAGCTTCTGACATCATTGGAAGACACAACTTCACCGTAAACATCTTGATCCTCTGCCTCTTACAATCATTTTGTCCCTGAGCCTTAGGTGCAAGAGTGTTTGGTAGGTGCTGTTAACTCTGCATTTTAATGGCTTGTGGTTTTCTGTGGTGGTCTCTGTCTATTGCAAAGAGAAGTTTCCTTGATGAGAGATGAGGACTAACACTTATCTGTGGGCATAAGGACAAAGATTTAGAATGTAGTTAGGGATCACACTGGTTTAGTAAAGTGGTAGGTGTAGGTTCTCCTCCAAGATCCAGGATTTCACTAGCCATAGGCAGTTGACTATGTTTGCATTCCACATATGATTTACCTCTTGTTGTGTGGTCTTAATTTCAATCAGAGAAGTGTTGCTTACTGCCAAGGTACGTGTGCCACTACTGACCCTTAGGGCTGTTGGGCCATGCTTGTCCTTGTGGTTTATACTTTGACTAGATCTTAAAGTGTATTTTCCACAAATAGTGTCAAATTTGGAATCTTACAATAAGATCCTCCTTTATTTTATTCTATTTAAGGGGTTTTGAGACAGATTCTCACTGTGTAACCCTGGCTGTCTTGGAACACATTTTGTACACCAAACTAGCCTTGAACTCACAGAGTTCTGCCTGCTTCTGCCTCTTGAGTCCTAGTATCCATTTTGAGTGATTCTATTGTAGTGGGGGAGAGCAGGTTTTAGATCCAGTTTTATACTATGAATATACTGTTTACTTAGCACCACTTGTTAATTAGGCTATCTTTTTCTGCAGAATATGCTTTGGTTACCTTGGCCAAAAATCGGAACTGTAGTGATATATGCTTGTTTCTGAATCTTCTACCCTATTCCATTGCTCTACATGTAGTGTGTGTGTGTGTGTGTGTGTGTGTGTGTGTGTGTGTGTGTGTGTGGTGTGTGTTTCTATTTCTATGTAGTGTAGTTTGAAGTAAGATAATTGTAATACCGCTGTAGCATTTTTCTTTTTGCTCAGGATTGCTTTGGCTATTCAGGGTGTTTTGTGTTTTCACATTGGTATTTTGTTTTGTTTGTTGTTTGTTTTGTTTTGTTATGTTTTTGCTTTTGAAATAGGGCTTCTCTGTTTAACAGTCCTGGCTGTCCTGGAACTCCCTGTGTAGACCAGGCTGGCCTTGAAATCCCAGAGATCATCCTGCCTCTGCCTCCCAAGTGCTGAGATTAAAGGCAAGTACCACCACATCTGGCTTCAATCTGAATTTTAAGATTGCTTTTGTTAGTTCCCTGTCAGTATTTATGAGGTTTTCATTGAATCTTAGCAATATGAATCCAATCTATAAACATGGGAGGTTTTCGATTTAATGTTTTAAAGTTTTTATTGTAGAAGTTATTGATATCTTTGATTAAATTTATGAATAGGCAATTTTAAGCTATTGTGAGTGAGCGATGTTCCCTTGAGTTATTCTTCAGTGAGCTAATTGTTGTATAAAGAATCTACTGACTTTTTGTGTCTTGCTACTTTTGAAAAGGTGGCCATAAGACCTAATAGTCATAAAGTGTAGTCTTTTAGATCTTTGAAATATAGGGTTTTACTGTCTGCAAACAGGGATAATTTTGCTTCTTTTGTTATCTGTATCTATTTTTATATTAGTCTCTTCCCTTATTGTTTGACTAAGATTTCAAGCATTATTTTGAGTAAGAATGGTAATACTGGACATCTTACCTTTTTGTCTTATTAATTTTATAGGAAATGATCTTAGGTTTTCTCTATACCTAATATTTTTAATGCTAATAAATGATTTCTTATTGATTGCTGCATGTTTATAGAACGCCCTCCAACTCAACTCACACTCTTTTAATTATGTTTTAATATGTCTAAATGGTAGTTTAAAGCCGGTTGGTGGTGGCGCATGCCTTTAATTCCAGCACTCAGGAGGCAGAGGCAGGTGGATCTCTGTGAGTTTGAGACCAGCCTGGTCTACAAGAGCTAGTTCCAGGACAGTCTGCAAAGCCATAGAGAAACCCTATCCTGGAACCCCCCCCAAAAAATATATGTCTAAATAATATTTTAAATTGTTGCAAATCTTTTCACATAGTTGATAAACTTTATTTCTTATATTTGACTCTATTACATGTCTTAGTCTTAGTGTCCATATTTTTTATGTTAGGATACATACACAGAGTTGATTTTTGATTTATTAGTTGTGTTATATCCTGCATTCCTGCTAAATTCAGTGCTGGAATTTTGTGATAGATTTCCTCATGTTTTTTCTCATGGAAGACTGCTTATGTGTTAACAGTGCCATCTCAAATACACATCTTCTTTTCTAATCTGGCTTTCTTGTGGTACACAATCTAGAACTCTACTACAATATAAATTTATAACTGGTGTTGAGAACAAATGTGTCATCTTTCTATTAGAACGCATTTGGTCTTTTACCATTATGTCTGATGTCAGCTGTGGGAATTTTCTTGTAAATGACTTTTTTCAGATCAAGAAATTCCTTTCTATTCCTACCTTACTCAGTTTTGTTGTTGTTGTTTTCAGGAGTGAATATTGTATTTTATCAAATGTTATTTCATTGTTAAAATAATTATATATTTTACCTTTAAGTTTATTAGTAGTCAACTGTATTGATTTCTGTAGTGTTAAATCAATTCTGAAAAATTCAGATCAGTCTGTAGTTTTGTTGTAATATCTCTAGCTGGTTTTGATAACAAGGTTACACTGATCTTAGATACCAAGTTGAGACATGTTCCTTTTCATTTTGAGGATGAAGATTTGTGTAGAATTGACATTATTATATGTTTGATAGCATTAATCAATGCTGCCATGTGGGTCTAGAATTTTCATTGAGGGCTGACTTTAACTTTTGAAGTATTTTTATTAGTCCAGAGCACTTTTCTTCTAGCACCTGCTCCC